TGCCTTGGTGGCCAAACAAATAAACACAGCTGTTGACTACGCCCCGTTGTTGGTAACTAGAGCGTCGGTACCCCCACTCGACGCTGCATCACTGCGCGCCACACCTGGCACTGGGGAAGGGATCGGCTGCGATACCTAGGACAGACAACAAACCAATCAGACAAAAGAAGATACTAGTTACACAGACAAACAGACATAACACATTGAATATTTCTCGTTGTAAAACATCGTCGCTAAAACATTACCGCCATCTGTTGAGTACACTGTGGTGGGCACTACGCTGAACAGATGGCGGTAGTGTGTAAACGTCAAACGCAAGGGAATTGACTATGCGCGCCACAGGTGGCGGTACTACCAACTACGATACTTTTAAATTGTCCGTTAAATGCTTGTTCGATGAACCACTTTCGAGAGTTATGTCTGTTTGTCTGTGCTAGTTACATGTTATAGTGAAGGTAGTATATTATTAAAATCTAAATTTGTCCTATAATATAGTGCTAAAACCTATGTTAACCTATCTAGTGCTTAAACCTTGACCGTTAATATTAAATTCAACATAAGGTTACAACTACGGCTAGAAAATGAGGAGAAATTAGTGCTATACTATAAATACTACAAACTACTACTACATCTACACAAGTGTACGCTAAAGCTGCGCATAGCTAGGGATGCTCTAGTATTATGTGGAAGAGAAGTTGAACTGCTAAAATAATTTATAACCTCCCTTTTACTCTCGGCAATAAACGTTAATGAATTCGGCAAATTCAGGCGACATCCGCAACTATTCTTCCAACATTTTATAAATTCTTTTATAATGCATGTATGTATGTATGTATGTAAGTAGCCACCATTCTAGCTTGGGTCTTGACCTGCATGCGGCTCCACTCAACAGCAAGATCAAATTTCGTCATCATTCTGAATTCAACATACTGCTGTATGAAGGGCCAAAAGGGGTTGGACGGGCCCGTAAGCAGAGACACTTACGCGAAACCCGCGGGAATAAGAGTCCTTCCAACAATATGATATAACAAATCGAATAACGAAATTCGCAATACATGTTAAGCTTTCCACGGGACGATTTGTTTAAGAAGAGCGCGTCAAATTCATTGCAACTGTTGAAGTGAAATGTAACTATCTATAATGACAGTACACATTCCCTCCTAGACTCCGGTTGGCAATCCACTCCATTGTCCAGTTACAACTTCAATGATGCCCTGATGCTCCCTCCCGTCCCAGCATTTATTGTAATTTACATTATAAAATTATATATAATCATGTTATATATAATGTAAATAAAATATGCAGTAAAATGAAAAATATAATAAAAAATAAAGATGTTTTACAAAATACAAATAACCTAGATTATTGGGTCCTATACACACACTTTTTGTTTTATGTGCCATGAAATGGCATAATGCATCATTGTATGTTTTGAAAATATAATTCTAAATTATTGAATCAATGACCGAAAATCGAGGTTATTTGGACATGAGACATTATATTTACAAGGATACCACCAAAGCGACCATCAAACGCACTGCCCACTAAAGCAACTATCTTCAACTGGAACGTACTCTCCAAATCAATACATTCGGGAGCGCATTCCCGATGCTTACTTTTCTCTAGTCATTCTTAAACAATTCCCCCTCCAGTGACTCCAACCACACAACAACCAAATACCACTCTTCTTTTTCAAATTTTATAAATTCTTTTATAATGTCGAAGAAGTCGTCCAGCCCTGCTGGAAGCGCCGTTGGAATGTCAACACCAGGGATGGTTGGAGAAACTGGAGAAGATTCCGTCGCAGAAACCGCGACGAAAAAGGCAGGTCCACCCGTTGTCATCGTTTCCCCTTCTAGCACCGAAGGCCAGGTAAATGCTGACGTTTCCAATAATAGAAATCCCCATACAACTGGATCAACGGTATCTAACGCTGTCAATGTTGGCAATACCGCCACCGGTACCGCGATCGGAGTCAGGCGCAATCCAATCCGCGGCGCTCGAAGAAACCGGGATTACCAGTGTCAGTTGTGTGAAGAGCGTGATAACGAAGAAATGGTGCAGTGTGATGGTTGCGATCGGTGGTTCCACTTCGTCTGTGTGCAAGTTTTGGAAAAAATTGCTAATGTCAGTTGAGTCTGTCCGAACTGTAAGGTCCCACGCAATCCGCCCACTAGTTTCACCAATACAACGACCGCACAACAGCAAGTAAATCCACCCCGAAGAAAACTACATCGCTACGGTCAAAGAGCAAGGTCAGCTCCAACACCAGTGGATCGAGAAGGATGAAGGAACTCGAGTTGAAGAAACTCGAGGAGTTCGAGTTAAAAAGGCGGTTCCTCGAACGGAAGTACCAACTAATGAAGGCTTATGGAAGCGAGACATCTACGGAGGCTGATGACGTCGAAGACAACATGTCCAAGATCTAGGTGCTCAGTGCAACCGCTTCTGGCAAATTCATCCTAATATTGAACAACCGCAATCCATTCCGAGCGCGCCACGGATACAGTTTGAGCAATTTTCGTCGAATAAACGGCGTGCTTCACATCCTCAGGATGGAACAGTGTTCATGCCAGGAACGATACCGGAAATGTGCCATCGCCAGCGTCGTCAAGGGATTCGGGAATCAGCAGCTGGTACGAGATCTTCCTACGTTCCGGAATTAAATCCAAGCATACGAAGTGACGACCCGCGCCATGACTTGTTCTACCGCCAGCAGATGCAGGCACAGAGCTATGCCAGACCATCTTTCATCCCTTCGATGAATTTGGGTACCCTGGAGGAAGCCAACCAGTTCGTACCTGGCCAGCGCTCGACACGGATTCGATCGGGCAATCCGAGACCAGGCACACCAGTTACGATTCCAGAGGAGCCGGTCAGTATTCTAAATCGAAGCCAAATTGCAGCTCGACAGGTGGTGTCCAAGGATCTACCTGAATTCAGTGGAACGTTGCAAGAGTGGCCTCTATTCTACTCCGTGTTCACGTCGTCCACGCAGATGTTTGGATTCACAAATGAGGAGAACATGCTGAGACTACGGAAGTGTTTGAAAGGGAAGGCGCTGGAGGCAGTGAGGTACGAGCTACTTTTTCCTTCAAACGTAGCAGACGTATTGGGAACGCTAAAGATGCTCTACAGGCGTCCAGAAGCGATAGTACAGTCGATCGTCAAGGAGATCAGGAACCTGCCTCCACCAAACACGGAAAAGTAAGTTTTGCGTTAACGGTGAAGAACATGGTCGCAACAATCAGAGCATGTAACGTCGACGACTTTATCTTAAAAAAATAGTCGCTCTATTGTCATCATATAGATCGCCCCACCCAGAACCATGGGAGTTGTTTAGTTCGATAGCTTGGTCTGCAGGGAAATTAGTCACTAAATCACAACACACGATTTTGCCTTGAACAATTCTTAGTTTTATTGACACCTTTTTTACAGAGCGAACTGAACTCATAAACTCCTTTGAATGGACTGTACTCTTCCCATTTTCTCCTAATATCTGCTGCCTGTCCAAACGTAGCAGGTTCATTCACGTTTGCGCTTTGTGCTTTCACGAATCCATAAAAAAGCTCTTGTCTATAGTGTCCTGCGCCGCGCTGAAAAATACATTCTGTGCGCCATCAAAGCAACCAGTTTCTTCTCTTTTATTTTGACATTGTAATTTTTTTCCGTTCATTCTCCCCGCGTTGAGATCTCTAGCTCAACAGATGGAAGAAAGGCAATCTTGGTTATTTATCTCTTGTACTCGCCAGCCGTAGTCTTGACCGTCACTAGACGGACCACGTCGTCGTTGCCAGAATGTGGTCAACTCCTCAAAAGTGAGCTTGGTTTCGCCGACGACTCGCTTCAAATGATGCTTCATGGATTTTACTCCAGTTTCCCAAATGCCACTGAAATGAGGACTTCTTGGAGGAATAAAATGCTAGCAAATGCCCTTCACTGCACAGAACTCTTCCACTTTCCGCTGATGTTGTTGGTCATTGAACAAGTCCCTGAGTGCAGCAAGTTCATGATTGGCACCCACAATGCAGTTCCGTTGTTTGAATAAATATCACTTGGCAAACCACGCTTGCTCACAAATCGGTGCAGTGCAGCAATGAAGTTGTCCGTCGTGAGATTGGAGACCACTTCAAAGTGAATTGCCTTTACTACCATGCATACAAAAACAACCACATATGCTTTGTAAACCTTTGGACTTCTTCCTCCTAGTGGAGGCGAACCAGCCCAAGGCTGAAAGCCTCCTAATAAAGTTAAATAATAATAATTCTTCCTCCTAGCTTCAGTAGAAACGGGCCAGCATAATCAATTCCAACATTTGAAAATACTGGCCCTTTACTTTACTTACACGGAACTCTGGAATGTCACCCATGAAATGACTCCCTGCTATCGGATAGCACCTTGCACAAATTTGGCATTTCGAAATTACTTTCTTGATGATAAGTTTCGCTTTCACTGGCCAGTACCGCTCTCGCACAATAGCCAGCAGCCCACCTTGACCGACGTGATGATGCTCCTCATGCAATTTCCGAATCAAAATCTCCATGACGTAATGTTTCTCTGGGAGTAGCATCTGATGCTTTCCATCGTATGGAATTGCAGAGTACTTCAGACGACCTCCAACACGAATAAGGTGATCTTCTCCTACGAATGGAGCCAAACTCGACAGATTGTGGCGCTTGTTCGACCTTGACCGTAGCAACTTCAGAAGATCACTAAACGTTTCTTGCTGAATCAGCCTTACAATAACCTTTTCGGCCTTCACTATTTCTTCTGCCGTAACACTCTTGGTAACACTAATCACATCTTTTTCTTTCTTCAGGTCAATAAACCTCATCACGTAGGCCCAAGCCCTTTGAAGCTTCCAGTAATCACTCACTCTGTTGAATTACATTGGCGGTTCACTTCTCACAGCCACCAACACCCTTGCTGGCCTTCTGGCTCATCTGTTTTAAACGCCTGCTTCCACAGCATCGATGGGCCATTCCACCCCGATTTTTTGTTCACCAGGTCGATTGGCAATTCACCTCTCGAGATGGCATCTTTTCTTTTTCTTCCGACCTGATATAATTCCAAGTGTAACCTGGAGTTAGTTCCAGCACCGCTGTCACCCGGTTGGCGACGAACTGATTCAACGCCAGAGGTATTTTCTTCAGCCAACACAAAACAATTTGTGAATCACACCATAAGATGACCTCATCAAAATTGATTGTCATCGATGAAATTACCTTTCGAACCAACTCAGCTAACAATTTAGCATCGCACAACTCTAAACGGGGAATGGTCACCGGTTTCAGTGGGGCCACCCTTGATTTGCTAGCGACCAGATTAACTTCGATTGTGCCTTCTGCTGTTATGCTTCGGATATAAACCACTGCTCCATATGCCCGCATGGAGGCATCAGAAAATCCATGTAATTCAATCCATGTCGCATTACTGAGAACTACACAACGTTGCTTTTGTTTTTGATTGATTGCCGGTAGCTCTTCTCGAAAATGCTGCCATTGATGCAACAATTCGTCGGGAAGCTGCTCATCCCAGTCTAGTCCAAGACGCCATAAATCTTGCATGATCATTTTCGCACAGGTGATGACTGGTCCCAGGAATCCCAATGGATCGAAAAGCCAACCGATATCCGACAACACCTCACGCTTCGTAGAAGAAATCTTCCCATCAATCAACGGCTCGACGTGGAAAATGAAATAATCTTCCGAATGATTCCAGATAAATCCTGTGGGAGATGACGACAACCAGTAAACGCCCCGCATAAGCGCGAACCATAAATTGACCTTACCGATAATGGTTATAAATTGTTTATAATCCCTGCTAAACTTCAACTGAAATGGTTATGGAACTTTACATGAACGTTTAATGATAAAGTTTTAACCTTAAGTATTATAGTTTTTTGGAAGTGGACCTTACCAATAATGGGTTGTTAAGAACCATTACCATTCAAAATTCTTGTTTTCTCCATACATTTTCGGAAAGAAAACTATATTAGAACGTTTTAACTTATGGTTTGAGAACATTAATGGTTATGGTTATGGTAACCAGTAAAGTTCATGAATGGTTTTGTAACATCGATCAACTTTATGTGGAATATATCGCGAATTGGTTGCCTGTAAATTACTGATTACCAATTCACGATATATTTCACGTAAAGTTGAGCGATAATACAGAACCATTAATGGACCTTACTGACTACCATAACCATAACCATTAATGTTCTCAAACCATAAGTAAAAACGTTCTAATATAGTTCTCTTTCCGAAAATGTATGGAGAAAACAAGAATTTTGAATGGTAATGGTTCTTAACAACCCATTATTTGTAAGGTCCGCTTCCAAAAAACCATAATACATAAGGTTAAAACTTTATCACACAAACGTTCATGTAAAGTTCCATAACCATTTCAGTTGAAGTTTAGCAGGGATTATAAACAATTTATAACCATTATCGGTAAGGTCATGTGATGGTTCGCGTTTATGCGGGGCAGCATGCCATGATAATTTTGAATTTGTTCCATGTTACCATAGTAACCTCTATATAAGCTCGGTAATAAAGAACATTCACTCTCTTATAGTTTTGTACATCGTAGGATACACAAGTGTTTTATTCCCACGATCTATGGCCATTCCAATAAATCCAAGTGTCTTGATTGTATTATTAATCCCAGATTCTTCGAAACTGACTTGCTTTTCTTGCAGATCCTCTGGAATTGCAGCTAGGACCTCTGCACTATTCGCACAGAATTTGTGAACGCCGAACCCTCCTCGAACCAATAATGCTGATAGTTCTTTGTATGTATCGATCACCGTTTCGACCAATTGTTCACCGGTTAGAAAATCGTCCACATAACTGTCCTTTTCGATAACTTGCGCGGCCAGTGGAAACTGTGTACCTTCGTCTGCAACCAGTTGAATCAATGCCTTTGTCGCATCATACGGTGAACTTGCCACACCGTACGTTACAGTTTGCAGCTGCTCGAACACCTTCCATTCACCGTTTTCATCACACCACACAATCTTATGGTACTTGCAATCATCTGGATGTATACCGACTTGACGGTACATTTTTGGAACATCGGCTGTCAGTACCACTTGATGGCCACAGAAGCGCAGAATTATCTCCACCAGATCACTTTGTACAGTAGGCCCAACCATTACAGCATCATTCAACGAGACTCCAGAAGTTGTTTTTGCCGATGCGTCGAAAACTACCCTGGTTTTCGTTGTGGAACTAGAGGTCTTGTACACAGCGTGATGCGGAATGAAGTATCCGCCTTCATCTACGACCTCCGCTTGCTTCATATGACCGAGAGCTATGTACTCTGTCATTAACTCAAAATACTGCATACGTTTCTCAGGATTCCTTAACAAGGAAATCATCAGTCGATCATAACGCTTCTTCGCCATAACAAAAGAATCACCAAGTTGATCCTTTAGCTCGTTGAACGGAAGTCGCACTACATAGCGGCCTTGATCATCCCTAGCATGAGTGTCCTTGAAATGCTCCTCAACAGCAGCTTCTGCCACCGACAAAGTTGAACCCAGACGAACGTCCTCGATTTCCCAAAACTTCACCATAGTTTCATTCAGGATCTCTTCTTGTTTACCGAACTGACACAAACGTGCACGTGGTGCACCTCTCCTACTTAGCACTGAACCTCCGACGATCCAGCCGAATTCAGTTTCAGCTAAGGTTACAGCACTGTTCTCTATCTGCAAGCGTCCCTTCTTCACCAAGTCGAAAAATATTTCGTTGCCAATAATCATATCAATTTCTCCTGGAGCATAGAACAACGGATCCGTGACAGAATTTTCGTTGAAACTAAGTACTTTACTCGAGTCTGAATGTCGTTGAGACCAGTGATAGGAAGATCGATGCGATCCATCTTCAACATCAACTTACTTGCCAACCTCTCTGTGAGTATGTGACTGTCGGATCCTGAATCTAACAGCGCACGACACTTAACGGTGGAACCTCCTGTTCCTACCACGAAAATCTCTGCGGTTGACAACAGTACCTGTCGCTTTGTTGTGCCAATCTGTGCACACAATGTCGTTGCACTTGAGCATTCTACGGCTTGCTGATCCTGTGTTTGCTCTTGCGTCTTCATGCCTGGTGACGGGGACTTATCTTCTTCACTCGTTTTCTCTGCTGTATCTCTAGGATGCAACAGACTATGATGCTTCCGATAGCAACCTTGGACCTTGCACCATTGGTCTGACGGACAGTCGATTACACGATGTTTTTGTTTCAGGCAATTGTAGCATAAACCCGCCTTTGCAGCAAATGATTTGCGTTCCGGGAACTCCATACTCTGGAACTTCGAGCACTTATAAATAACGTGCTCTGCATCACTTCTCTTGCCGTCTGGATGAACGACTTCGATGTCTGTACTTGAACCTTCTGGTTACTCATTGGACGTTGTTTGGTCTGTACCATTACCTGTTGTTGCTGTGAGCGATTCGTACGCTGTAGAACGCGTCCTCGTTCCCGAAGAAATTCAACAAATCTATCGTATTTAGGAATTTCTCCCTGCGTATCGTTGTCGAGTTTCTTATAGAGAACGTTAGACACAATCAATTCCCCCAAGCCTTCGACAGGATAGCCATGACCTTTCAAAGAATCGACGTGCTTCGTACACGTTTCAACCAGCTGAGAAATCGATTGCCCACGGTTGACCTTTGCGCAATCCAACTTCCAACAATCCAACGTCAACTTGAGTGTCCAGTATCAGCCGTTTATCCTCGTATGCGTCCTCCAGAATCTTCCAAACCATTTCGTAGTCGTTGTTGTTCACGACGTCCTGATCGATCTTACTCCTCGCAGAACCGCTTAGGGCATTCCGCAAATGCAGAATCTTAATCGCCGGTATCTCGTTCGGGTACTTTGCCATAATGCTCGTGAAAAGGCTCTTGAAGCTGTACCAATTCTCCGGTGTCCCGTCAAACGTTGGAAATGAAGCATGCAGTTGCGGTGCTGGCGCTTGCACAATAATCGGCTGTTGAAAACTAGAGTCACTACTTGACGTACCTGGTCTTACATTACTTGCTTCTTGCGCTGCGGCGATCATAGTATGCAAGTCAACGTAAAGTTCGTTGTGAATTTTTTCGAAGACCGCATACTCTGCGTTCAGCAGCTCGTTGATTTCTCGGCAGCAGCACGGAAATATCGGAATGTATTTTGTCGAATTCGTTCGCACACCGCCGCCGTATATCAAGGTGAAGATTGAGCAAACGAATGCAACGATTCCTTCATCCTGATGAATGTATCTATGATCAGTTCATGCCGATTCATCAGCACCTCCAAGTTGGATTCCATTGCTTTCTTCTTTTCGAGCAGTTCTTTAAAAAGCTTCTGTTCCGCGATTGACGGAATTGTATTCTCTTGTTCACTACGTGAACCTGTTAGCGCTTCCAAAATGTTTCTTGTTGTTAATTGTTGCAACACTCCTCGTGGTGTTTCACAGTCACTCATGTCTACACTTCTCCGGAATCGTTCAACTAGTGATGTACCACGGGCACGTCTACTAGTTCACTTTGATTTTGAGTTACTATATGCACACGGTGCATCACAAATTGTAACGTTCGTTTTATCGGCTTCCAGCCTCACTACGCACACGTTGCGTTTAATTGTCCAACATCCACATTTACACGTTGCGTTTAATTGTCCAACATCCACAATTTTACCCATTAATGAGTATCTGTTACCCATTAATGATTAACAATTACTCATTAATGGGTAACAGATACTCACCCGAAAAAAAATAACAACAAAAATACAATAAAAAACAATGTAACAATAAGACGAAAATTATTGTCTTAACAATGATTTACATTGTTACGTCTACAATAAATTTACCTTGATTTATGTTGTACAAAACAGTAAATTTCATGGTAAATGGAAAATTTACAATAAATAAGGGGGGTTGTTAAGTATCTTAACAATGAAATTTTCGTGATTTCCCCATATATTTTTTTTACAATAACATTATATATTATTGTTATTTTACTGTTGGTTGGCGAATTTCTTGATTAAAAAAAATAACAGTGTACTTTAGAGTGTATGTGTTGGCTTGACAGATCTACTTTATCGACTTTAAAAATAAATCGAAAAAATAAAACATCGCCCCGGGAAGGGAGGGGGGTGGGTGGTATATGTATGTTACGGGTGAGTCCTTTTTTACTGGTTATGGATTGAGATTCGATCCGGAACTTGTGAGAATTGGAGGCCAACATCCCTGCACTCGATCTCCCTAGGTCACGTCTCTTTGGTGGTTGAGAGTCGTTGATAATCTAATGCATTCGACTGGAGAGAATCGCCCATGAAATATGCTTCCACCTGAGAGTTCCTTCCTGACATCTTAGCGGTGGAATTTTTTATTATTATTGTATGATTATTGACTGCACGGGAAAGGTCTGCATTAAGCGGGATTTAGATAAGGCGGGTGAGTTGAATTCAACTCAAACCGATCTGGTCGTAGGCGTTCAACTGACTTGGCAACGAATAGAGCCAAACGAACTGTCAAAGCAAGAGCCATACGAGCAGCGCCTATCTTGATTACATTGGCAGTGTTGCTGACCCTCTCATAGTCTGCATGCTTCAATCAGATTTATTTTTATTGTTCGTGAAGTAACCCACAATGAAAACACACCAATATTTAATGTAACAACAATTTTTATTGTAATAGAGTTGTTCATTATTGTTCGTGATCGAATCATGTTAACAATAAAATAAATGAAAAATACAATAAAATTCATTGTAACAACATTTTATTATGTACATTCATTGTACATCTAGGTAGCAGTTTTGCCGTTTTCGGAAGGGTACAACATTATAACAATCATTTTTATTGTCGACAATAAATATTAATGTTAGAGCATTGTTTCCACTGAAAATTTCACTGTAATTTTTTTTTCGGGCATTAATGGGTAAAAAATTTACTCATTTAATGAGTTAAGCCACTTTTCTTCAAAATGGTTCTTTTTCAACCATTAATGGGTACTTTCAAGTTAGCGTGTACAGCGCAGTCTGGCAGTGCTTATGTTTTGTCTGCTACATTCTTATCCACTAGATATCCCGAGCAAAGCTGGAGATCAAATTGAAATCAAAATTTGCTGTTATGATGTAACTTATTTTGAATACTCCAGTTGATCTCATTTTGGTTGACTTAACGGTTAACACAGCAAAAATGAGAGCAAACTTTTACACTGTTGAATCAAATGGAAAACTAATCTTGCTTTCAATAAAATCAATTTGATTACTGATTTTGCATTCATAATGTTTAACTGAATACGGGCATGGCGTAAATGGTTAGTGTCCATGCTTCCCACACTGACAGAGTTGAGCTCAAATTTCACCCCGGGCAAGTCATGAATGACCTAAAATGTGTTAAACAAAACAAATAAACAATAATCATTAGACAAAAACGACAGATGAACTTAGATTAAATTTTAAACAAGACGTTAACAGCAAAATTTTAAGTTAAGTTGCTTTCATTTAAAAAGTTTTGACTGCATAATGAAAGCAAATTATGATATCAGACTTATGTCGTGACAATTTAAATCAAAATGAGTTTTCATTATGATAGGAACTGCAAACTTTAATATCGATTTGCTTTCATTTTGTTAACCGACTTTGCTCGGGTAGTGTGACATCACATTTGCTGTTGTATTGAAAAGAGATGGTTAAGTTTTCCTCACCATACCAGTTGATATTTATGAAAAATGGGCAGTTTTGGCGTTGGAACATGCACTTCCAATGAATTTTACCAATACATTTAGAAAATGATGATCGAAGAATATTTCAAAAAGAAGAAGTAAACAAAATAATGACCCTTTGTAGAACCTTAAAGTGAACTGGATGAAATGATTGTTTTATCAAAATTATGTTAAAGTTAACTACTATTCATATTTGCTAATTAATACCTAAATGTAATTTTTAATTTTATGAAGATAAGTTGCTCAGAATAGCAGCCTGTAATTCCGTACCAGAATCCGCCTCCAATTTAATGTCTTTTGTGGATTCGTAGTAGCAAAGTTGTGCTAAAAGCTAAATAGTTACCTAAAAATACTACCTAAAGGGTGATACGGTCAAAATTTGGTCAATATCAACTTGACGTATTTCTTTCAATTTTGCATTTAAAAAACCTGAACACCCCTCATTTTGAAGGTGTGTGTGTGTAGAATGTTGCTCCTATTTTGATTTTGGAATTCACTCTTCAGTTGTCAAAATGCCGTTAAAACAAGAAGAGCAGCGTATCAAAATTTTGCTCGCGCATCGCGAAAATCCGAGCTACTCGCACGCAAAGTTGGCAAAATCGCTAAAAGTTGCCAAATCAACCGTTACAAATGTAATTAAAGTGTTTGGGGAACGTTTGTCGACAGCCAGGAAGTCTGGATCGGGGGGAAATCGAAAACCGGAAGCCGCTGAGACGACAAAGAGAGTTGCCGGTAGTTTCAAGCGAAACCCTAACCTCTCTCTCCGAGATGCCGCAAATAAGCTGGGTGTATCGTCTACAACCGTGCATCGAGCCAAAAAACGAGCCGGACTATCGACTTACAAGAAGGTAGTGACTCCAAATCGCGATGATAAACAAAATACGACGGCCAAAGCGCGATCCCGGAGGCTGTACACGACGATGCTGACGAAGTTTGACTGCGTGGTAATGGACGACGAAACCTACGTCAAAGCCGACTACAAGCAGCTTCCGGGACAGGAGTTTTATACGGCAAAAGGAAGGGGAAAGGTAGCAGATGTTTTCAAGCACATGAAACTGTCAAAGTTCGCAAAGAAATATCTGGTTTGGCAAGCCATCTGTACCTGTGGCTTGAAAAGCAGCATTTTCATAGCTTCCGGGACTGTCAACCAAGAAATTTACGTGAAAGAGTGTTTGAATAAACGTCTGCTGCCTTTCCTGAAGAAACACGGTTGTTCCGTACTGTTTTGGCCGGATTTGGCATCTTGCCATTACGGTAAAAAGGCCATGGAGTGGTACGCCGCCAACAACGTGCAGGTGGTTCCCAAGGACAAGAACCCTCCCAACACGCCAGAGCTCCGCCCAATTGAGAAATACTGGGCTATTGTCAAGCGGAACCTAAAGAAGACCAAAAAAACTGCTAAGGGCGAGCAGCAGTTCAAGGCAAACTGGCTTTCTGCGGCGAAGAAGGTGGACAAGGTGGCTGTACAAAATCTGATGGCAGGGGTCAAGCGTAAGGCCCGGCAATTCGGATTTGGAAAAGCGGAAGCCTAACTGAATATTTTTCCTGAATTTTATACTAATTGAACTTGAAAAAGAAATTTAATTTGATTTTTTAAATAAACGATTTCACCGATTTACACGCGTTTTCCCTTGACCAAATTTTGACCGTATCACCCTTTAAATCGTCCACAATCGGGCCACTGATGAAAACCAAAACTACAACCCTGAAAAAACGAATCGATATTTTCGAAGGCGAACACAACCTATTCTTGCTAGTGATTCTGTCCAATTGTTAAGTATCCAAATTATAGTCATTCGTAAATTTATTATTGAATATATGGATGAATTATCTATTATTGAATAACTATTATTTACGATAATTACATGAAAGAAATAACATATAAACTACAAACAAAACGTGACTACTAAAATCTCAAAAAGATATTCTCACAAGTATATTTCACGCAACCAGGAATCTCAAAACCATTAGACGCTATAATGATACTCTGCACATGTTAGACACAAGAAAAGGCCAAAAAGCAAGCGTCCGACACACAAAACCCGCCAAATCCACTGGCAGTCACAATCAACGATTCTATGAATCGCGAGCGCTCACGAATCATAAAACCGCTGACTGCGACACTCTGAAAGCGAAATTGACAGGCTCTATGCGTCAAACACCCGCCCTCCAATCTCCTCCCGCATCCAACAACACAAACCCCCACTACAACATCTAACGAATTCAAAACTCCGAAAATCACTCATCTATAGAAAGTGAGTGGAAGCAACCCTGCATGCAACTATTCTTCATGATACGCTTTGTCTGTCTATCTTTCTATTAGGCCTGTGGACATGTGTTAGCTTCGAAACTTCTAACCAAACTAGGAAAATTTTGAAACACAAAAAAAAATTTAAAGCAAAATACATATTGATTATTTTACGCAAAACCGAGCAAGTAATATTAAATCTCTTGTATTGTATGCTAATGCTAATTGACTGTAACAAAAATAATATGCTTAAATAAAATAAAATATTAATAAAATGATATGCACAATTTACTAGAAGGTCATTACTTTATTGGTGAGAAGTTTCTAATAAGCCCTCCCAGTTCCTCTGTATGCAGAACAAATCTGATACTATAATCAGAATTGCTCAGTCTGCATGAAGCAGCCGATTGCATCAAGGAAGTTCTATTAACAACCAAGAATTAATCGTTTGAGGTATACTGAAGCATTAAGAAGGTGATATGTGTCACTATATGAAATCATCATCGCTGCAAATATAAAGAAATTAAACAGAACCCTTTGCTTCAGTACCGTCAACCTCCATGTCCATGGGGAGGGATCCACATTTACAAGCATAATCACTACCAAATTTGCGTTCGATTTTCAGTCACGGACTGCACTACGCACACGGTATGCTTGATTTTCCAATGATTATGCCACGGACATAATCATTTTCGATATTCTGACCACGGGCCACACTACGCACACGGTGCGTTTTGTTTCAAAGCGCAATCTTCGGCCACGGGCCTCACTAATTGCACTTTTGCACACGGTGCAAACACTGCCAGAACCCGTTCTATGCCACGGACATAATGTTTTCTGACCTTCGGCCCCGGACCAAACTTTTGCACACGGCACACGACAGCAACTAAAATTCCGTAAGCACTACGTTTGGCGGACTAAAATGTCCGCTCATCCGGTTCGATTGGACCAAATGTTTAGTTCGATAGCTTGGTCTGCAGGGAAATTAGTCACTAAATCACAACACACGATTTTGCCTTGAACAATTCTTAGTTTTATTGACACCTTTTTACAGAGCGGACTGAACTCATTCACTCCTTTGAATGGACTGTACTCTTCCCATTTTCTCCTAATCTCTGCTGCCTGCCCAAACGTAGCAGGTTCATTCATGTTTGCGCTTTGTGCTTTCACGACACGCATACATTGAAACCATTTCGATATTATTCAATAAATATTCCCTGAATTTTAAGAGATTTTAAAGAAACGATTCTCTAAATAATTTTTCAAATTATAAATACACAACTACCCTAATAATATTGACCGTAAGATAAACAATTCAAGCGTTTTTGACCATTTGGCGAATAGGCGGTTAGGTATAGTTACCATAAAAAAGCTGCATTTTCCCGAACACATTTCCGCATGAATGATAACAAAAATCGTAGGTTTAAAATACGCTTAAGTGCGCTCAACCAATTTAGTATATCATACACATATCTTTGTACGATAAATATTCATTGATTTTCTAGACCATATGCGTTATAGTAAGTTTATGCTTCAAGAATATTTAATCATTTGTAGTAATAAGGAAAATGCTGGCTTAAGCAATACTAGTACCTATTATCGTCCGAGATAGGTAAATGAAGTCCTTGAGTGCTCATTGCTTACACGAAGATGCATCATGAAAAAATAAAACTTCAAGGACTTCATTTATCACCTGACGATAATAAGTAAAGTTATTGCAGAAACCAGCAATTCCGCTAAATTAAATCATAAGGTTTTAGGGTTAACAATAAAAAAATCATGTTTATTAATAAAAGCAAAGTAACTCCTACCCTTCAGTGTTCACTCGGCTGTCGACAAAAGCAGGCCACTCTTGATGTGTGCTACGCGATCGTCTGTTCTCGGCAGCAACCATTGTGTGGTCCTCCTCATTGTTCTTCATCAGCAGTTCTTTCGGTCGATGCGTCGTCGACTTTGGAAAGCAACCGTTTCGTGATGAGTGTGTGAGTGCTGACCACGTTTTGCGTCCATTGTTGATAGATTAACATTGACTGCTGTTTACAAATGTAAGTACTTGAACACTAAGAAATAAGTTAACTTAAATGCTTTAACCGCATATATAAGAGATTTCGCGTATTGAGAGAATTATATAGTAATCGAGTACAACAAACTCAGGGGAATACAATACCTCCAAAAGTTTAAAAGCTATTAATTGTCACATACCTCTACTTTTACTTATTTCCTAAACTATTCATCTCCTTGTTAATCTGCTAAATGCTATTGGTCTGCCTGCGTTTTCTTTTTAAAGTTCAAGACTAAATAAGAAGATTTATTCTACAACTTTAAAGGTTAGTTGCCTCTCTAAGCGGACCCCCCGCATCCTAATTCTTTTGTTAATCTACTTAATGTCATTAGACTTTCTGAAGTTTCTTATTTAAGTTCATTTGATGATTATGATTATGATTATTAAAAACTCTAATTCACCTAATCAAGCATAACCCATGCTTTATTAAGTACCTGCACTTGTGCATGTAATCTAAAATTAAACGTGTTTCAAGTACTTTTGATTTTGACCTATACCTATTTATTATATCTTAGGTCGACACAGGTAACACCTTCATGTGACTAAAATGCTTCATTTTGAAGTTAGTTTCCTAGCTGATTTTTAAATTATATAAGGTATATGCTCCAATTACGCTCTCACGTTTCCACTATGTCGCACCACAAAAATACATATGGGTATGTCACAATAGAAGCACACCACAGTGGAAATCTCGAGCCATAGTTCAAACACTTATCCCAAATCAAAATGAAGCACATATAAGATTAGTTACAATATCATGTACAAAAATGATGTTTAACATTGTTTCCTGAGTAATACTTCAATGAAAACAACAATGAAAGCTTGTCACGCAAATAGAAGGAGCACCGTTGGGCACTTTCTGAAATATTTCAATAGTATAATTCCCTTGCAAACCAAAATAAATCTATCTCCGTTAAAATAAATAAAATAAGAGTGATTTGCGGCAAAACCCGCCAGTATCACACCCAACGTCAGTGCCTATACGTAAGCGTACTACGACGCGGCTCTCAATAAAAGGAGTAACAAGTGTGATACTATCACTGCTAGACTAGATCTTTGGTTCTCTCATGCAGTGGTTTATCAGAGAGGGGAAGCTTAGTAATCCCCATTGCCTGCCCATGACGCCATTCTATCGCGGCATGAGCCAGCCACGCCGGCCATAAACCTACCGTCTCCAACACTCCACTATAAAGCATGAAATTAAGCCCGCCCACCAACAGCAAGGTGCAAAAACTAGCCAAGGGGAGGGATTACCTCACACAGAGAAATTTCATGTAGTTGAAACAAAAAAAAATCTTTTTTGAACTGAACAATTCGATATTTTTGTTTTAAAAATTGGTTATGGTAGAATGAACAATATTTTATTTTAAATTCAAAACAACATATTTTTGAATTTAAAAAATATCGTTTATTCAACAACAAAAATTGTTGATGAATTTTGTCAATGTAATCAAACGCAATCAGCAAATTGACCGCCAGTCTGTGACAGTAACCGAAAATAAAAGTAGTGGAGAAATGTCCACTTGAAATTATGGAGGTTCTCAACAGATTTGTACTGTCCGCCACGGGCAGCTGTTTTATCGGTGAGTAGTTTTTTTTTTTGTAATTGGTGAAAATTGCTTTAATAATTAATTTCTTTACAGTGATGCTGATTATGGAGCGTTGTGAAGTGGAAGAGCTGACTCCAATCCCATTTTTGGTGGAGCGGATCAAATGTATCTACGGGTTGAATATGGAGAAAAGCTCAGGTAATTCAATTTAATGGATATTGTTATTGTTAAGAAATGTTGGCATATTGTGCATCATATTTTTTTTAATTTTGCTTTTTTTTCGTTTTTAGGGTCTTCTTATTCTAACGGAATAACTTGCACCGGTGCAGCCAACTGCCGCTACCTTGCTAGTATCGCAGAAAGCAACATACCGAACTGCTTGCTGTATTTTAGGTATTGTAATATGATTAATGTATCAAATACTAAAATGACATAAAATACATTGAAAAGCATAATTGTTCTTTTAAACCTTTGGAAAAAAACGTCAGATATAAAATAGATATATTATTGAGCCTACAAATTAATATTGTTGATTCAAAGAACACAAATTCTTGATTCAACAAACAGAAATTGTTGTTTTAAAAATTGTTTCGCCATTTCAAAGAAAATAATGAATGAAAATGATTTAAAAATAAAAATTATTTTCTTTGAATTCAATACAAAAAATTATTGTGTCAACAATATTTATTGTTAGCCGGGAGACAACTATTTTTTTTTTTATTGAATTCAATACAGAATATTGTTGAAATTAAAATATATTTCTCTGCGTGCTTAAATGAACAGTCGACGCTAGATGTTTAGTCAGATTTAACAGTGAGCCGGCATGTGTGGTAAGACGTATTCCAGCTGAACCAATCAAACTAGCGTGGAAAATGAGAGCGTTCTTGGGAGTTTTAAGTGCTCTGAACAGAGTATTTTCAGCACCTGGAAGAAAGTATTAGAAACGTACTTTTATACACTTGAGCGTTAACATTTTTGGTTCAAATAATTGTTACTTTTATCAGATAACCAAGGAAGGTAAAATCATTCTTTATCATAAAAAAGTTGCGAAACCATATCCTTCATATCATCAATAAATGTAGTTTTAAGCACAGTATACCCTACTGATCCGAAAAAAATCCTGACCGGGTGATCTAATAAACAAAAAAATCAAATAGTAAAACGAAAAGACAGTAGAGTTAACATAATAAATTGTAAAACTGACGGAACAAGATCTTTTTCGGATTAGCTGGGGTTAGCGGGGGACAGTACATTATAGACACAAATTAATTACCTTAAATGAACAGTCGACGCTAGATGTTCAGTCAGATTTAACAGTGAGCCGGCATGTGTGGTAAGACGTATTCCAGCTGAACCAATCAAACTAGCGTGCAAAATCAGACCGTTCTTGGGAGTTTTAAGTGCTCTGAACAGAGTATTTTCAGCACCTGGAAGGAAGTATTAGAAACGTACTTTTATACACTTGAGCGTTAACATTTTTGGTTAAAATAATTGTTACTTTTATCAGACAGCCAAGGAAGGTAAAATCATTCTATATCATAAAAAAACTTGCGAAACCATATCCTTCATATCATCAATAAATGTAGTTTTAAGTACAGTATACCCTACTGATCCGATAAAATCCTGACCGGGTGATCTAATAAACAAAAAGTCAAATACTAAAACAAAAAGACAGTGGTTAACATAAAAAAAATTCTAAAATTGACGGAACAAGATTTTTTTCGGATTAGCTGGGATTAGCGGGGGGCAGTACATTATAGACACAAATTAATTACCTTAAATGAACAGTCGACGCTAGATGTTTAGTCAGATTTAACTGTGAGCCGGCATGTGTGGTACGACGTATTCCAGCTGAACCAATCAAACTAGCGTGAAAAATGAGACCGTTCTTGGGAGTTTTAAGTGCTCTGAACAAAGTATTTTCAGCACCTGAAAGGAAGTATTAGAAACGTACTTTTATACACTTGAGCGTTAACATTTTTGGTTAAAATAATTGTTACTTTTATCAGACAGCCAAGGAAGGTAAAATCATTCTTTATCATAAAAAAAGTTGCGAAACCATATCCTTCATATCATCAATAAATGTAGTTTTAAGTACAGTATACCCTACTGATCCGATAAAATCCTGACCGGGTGGTAAAATCATTCTTTATCATAAAAAAAGTTGCGAAACCATATCCTTCATATCATCAATAAATGTAGTTTTAAGTACAGTATACCCTACTGATCCGATAAAATCCTGACCGGGTGATCTAATAAACAAAAAGTCAAATACTAAGAAAAAAGACAGTGGTTAACATAAAAAATTCTAAAACTGACGGAACAAGATTTTTTTGGATTAGCTGGGATTAGCGGGGGGCAGTACATTATAGACACAAATTAATTACCTTAAATGAACAGTCGACGCTAGATGTTTAGTCAGATTTAACAGTGAGCCGGCATGTGTGGTACGACGTATTCCAGCTGAACCAATCAAACTAGCGTGAAAAATGAGACCGTTCTTGGGAGTTTTAAGTGCTCTGAACAGAGTATTTTCAGCACCTGGAAGGAAGTATTAGAAACGTACTTTTATACACTTGAGCGTTAACATTTTTGGTTCAAATAATTGTTACTTTTATCAGACAGCCAAGGAAGGTAAAATCATTCTATATCATAAAAAAACTTGCGAAACCATATCCTTCATATCATCAATAAATGTAGTTTTAAGTACAGTATACCCTACTGATCCGATAAAATCCTGACCGGGTGATCTAATAAACAAAAAGTCAAATACTAAGAAAAAAGACAGTGGTTAACATAAAAAATTCTAAAACTGACGGAACAAGATTTTTTTCGGATTAGCTGGGATTAGCTGGGGTTAGCGGGGGACAGTACATTATAGACACAAATTAATTACCTTAAATGAACAGTCGACGCTAGATGTTTAGTCAGATTTAACAGTGAGCCGGCATGTGTGGTACGACGTATTCCAGCTGAACCAATCAAACTAGCGTGAAAAATGAGACCGTTCTTGGGAGTTTTAAGTGCTCTGAACAGAGTATTTTCAGCACCTGGAAGAAAGTATTAGAAACGTACTTTTATACACTTGAGCGTTAACATTTTTGGTTAAAATAATTGTTACTTTTATCAGACAGCCAAGGAAGGTAAAATCATTCTTTATCATAAAAAAAGTTGCGAAACCATATCCTTCATATCATCAATAAATGTAGTTTTAAGTACAGTATACCCTACTGATCCGATAAAATCCTGACCGGGTGCTCTAATAAACAAAAAGTCAAATACTAAAACAAAAAGACAGTGGTTAACATAAAAAATTCTAAAACTGACGGAACAAGATTTTTTTTCGGATTAGCTGGGATTAGCTGGGGTTAGCGGGGGACAGTACATTATAGACACAAATTAATTACCTTAAATGAACAGTCGACGCTAGATGTTTAGTCAGATTTAACAGTGAGCCGGCATGTGTGGTACGACGTATTCCAGCTGAACCAATCAAACTAGCGTGAAAAATGAGACCGTTCTTGGGAGTTTTAAGTGCTCTGAACAGAGTATTTTCAGCACCTGGAAGAAAGTATTAGAAACGTACTTTTATACACTTGAGCGTTAACATTTTTGGTTAAAATAATTGTTACTTTTATCAGACAGCCAAGGAAGGTAAAATCATTCTATATCATAAAAAAAGTTGCGAAACCATATCCTTCATATCATCAATAAATGTAGTTTTAAGTACAGTATACCCTACTGATCCGATAAAATCCTGACCGGGTGATCTAATAAACAAAAAGTCAAATACTAAAACAAAAAGACAGTGGTTAACATAAAAAATTCTAAAACTGACGGAACAAGATTTTTTTCGGATTAGCTGGGATAAGCGGGGGGCAGTACATTATAGACACAAATTAATTACCTTAAATGAACAGTCGACGCTAGATGTTTAGTCAGATTTAACAGTGAGCCGGCATGTGTGGTACGACGTATTCCAGCTGAACCAATCAAACTAGCGTGAAAAATGAGACCGTTCTTGGGAGTTTTAAGTGCTCTGAACAGAGTATTTTCAGCACCTGGAAGAAAGTATTAGAAACGTACTTTTATACACTTGAGCGTTAACATTTTTGGTTAAAATAATTGTTACTTTTATCAGACAGCCAAGGAAGGTAAAATCATTCTTTATCATAAAAAAAAGTTGCGAAACCATATCCTTCATATCATCAATAAATGTAGTTTTAAGTACAGTATACCCTACTGATCCGATAAAATCCTGACCGGGTGATCTAATAAACAAAAAGTCAAATACTAAAACAAAAAGACAGTGGTTAACATAAAAAATTCTAAAACTGACGGAACAAGATTTTTTTCGGATTAGCTGGGTTTATCTGGGGTTAGCGGGGGACAGTACATTATAGACACAAATTAATTACCTTAAATGAACAGTCGACGCTAGATGTTCAGTCAGATTTAACAGTGAGCCGGCATGTGTGGTAAGACGTATTCCAGCTGAACCAATCAAACTAGCGTGAAAAATGAGACCGTTCTTGGGAGTTTTAAGTGCTCTGAACAGAGTATTTTCAGCACCTGGAAGGAAGTAATAGAAACGTACTTTTATACACTTGAGCGTTAACATTTTTGGTTAAAATAATTGTTACTTTTATCAGACAGCCAAGGAAGGTAAAATCATTCTTTATCATAAAAAAAGTTGCGAAACCATATCCTTCATATCATCAATAAATGTAGTTTTAAGTACAGTATACCCTACTGATCCGATAAAATCCTGACCGGGTGATCTAATAAACAAAAAGTCAAATGCTAAAACAAAAAGACAGTGGTTAACATAAAAAAAATTCTAAAATTGACGGAACAAGATTTTTTTCGGATTAGCAGGGATTAGCGGGGGGCAGTACATTATAGACACAAATTAATTACCTTAAATGAACAGTCGACGCTAGATGTTTAGTCAGATTTAACAGTGAGCCGGCATGTGTGGTACGACGTATTCCAGCTGAACCAATCAAACTAGCGTGAAAAATGAGACCGTTCTTGGGAGTTTTAAGTGCTCTGAACAGAGTATTTTCAGCACCTGGAAGGAAGTATTAGAAACGTACTTTTATACACTTGAGCGTTAACATTTTTGGTTAAAATAATTGTTACTTTTATCAGACAGCCAAGGAAGGTAAAATCATTCTTTATCATAAAAAAAGTTGCGAAACCATATCCTTCATATCATCAATAAATGTAGTTTTAAGTACAGTATACCCTACTGATCCGATAAAATCCTGACCGGGTGCTCTAATAAACAAAAAGTCAAATACTAAAACAAAAAGACAGTGGTTAACATAAAAAATTCTAAAACTGACGGAACAAGATTTTTTTTCGGATTAGCTGGGATTAGCTGGGGTTAGCGGGGGACAGTACATTATAGACACAAATTAATTACCTTAAATGAACAGTCGACGCTAGATGTTTAGTCAGATTTAACAGTGAGCCGGCATGTGTGGTACGACGTATTCCAGCTGAACCAATCAAACTAGCGTGAAAAATGAGTCCGTTCTTGGGAGTTTTAAGTGCTCTGAACAGAGTATTTTCAGCACCTGGAAGAAAGTATTAGAAACGTACTTTTATACACTTGAGCGTTAACATTTTTGGTTAAAATAATTGTTACTTTTATCAGACAGCCAAGGAAGGTAAAATCATTCTTTATCATAAAAAAAAGTTGCGAAACCATATCCTTCATATCATCAATAAATGTAGTTTTAAGTACAGTATACCCTACTGATCCGATAAAATCCTGACCGGGTGATCTAATAAACAAAAAGTCAAATACTAAGAAAAAAGACAGTGGTTAACATAAAAAATTCTAAAATTGACGGAACAAGATTTTTTTCGGATTAGCTGGGATTAGCTGGGGTTAGCGGGGGACAGTACATTATAGACACAAATTAATTACCTTAAATGAACAGTCGACGCTAGATGTTTAGTCAGATTTAACAGTGAGCCGGCATGTGTGGTACGACGTATTCCAGCTGAACCAATCAAACTAGCGTGAAAAATGAGACCGTTCTTGGGAGTTTTAAGTGCTCTGAACAGAGTATTTTCAGCACCTGGAAGAAAGTATTAGAAACGTACTTTTATACACTTGAGCGTTAACATTTTTGGTTAAAATAATTGTTACTTTTATCAGACAGCCAAGGAAGGTAAAATCATTCTTTATCATAAAAAAAAGTTGCGAAACCATATCCTTCATATCATCAATAAATGTAGTTTTAAGTACAGTATACCCTACTGATCCGATAAAATCCTGACCGGGTGATCTAATAAACAAAAAGTCAAATACTAAAACAAAAAGACAGTGGTTAACATAAAAAATTCTAAAACTGACGGAACAAGATTTTTTTCGGATTAGCTGGGTTTATCTGGGGTTAGCGGGGGACAGTACATTATAGACACAAATTAATTACCTTAAATGAACAGTCGACGCTAGATGTTCAGTCAGATTTAACAGTGAGCCGGCATGTGTGGTAAGACGTATTCCAGCTGAACCAATCAAACTAGCGTGAAAAATGAGACCGTTCTTGGGAGTTTTAAGTGCTCTGAACAGAGTATTTTCAGCACCTGGAAGGAAGTAATAGAAACGTACTTTTATACACTTGAGCGTTAACATTTTTGGTTAAAATAATTGTTACTTTTATCAGACAGCCAAGGAAGGTAAAATCATTCTTTATCATAAAAAAAGTTGCGAAACCATATCCTTCATATCATCAATAAATGTAATTAATTAATTAATTTAGCTTTATTTAGGAGGCTTTCAGCCTTAGGCTGGTTCGCCTCCATTACCAATAAATGTAGTTTTAAGTACAGTATACCCTACTGATCCGATAAAATCCTGACCGGGTGATCTAATAAACAAAAAGTCAAATACTAAAACAAAAAGACAGTGGTTAACATAAAAAATTCTAAAACTGACGGAACAAGATTTTTTTCGGATTAGCTGGGATTAGCTGGGGTACATTATAGACACAAATTAATTACCTTTAATGAACAGTCGACGCTAGATGTTTAGTCAGATTTAACTGTGAGCCGGCATGTGTGGTACGACGTATTCCAGCTGAACCAATCAAACTAGCGTGAAAAATGAGACCGTTCTTGGGAGTTTTAAGTGCTCTGAACAGAGTATTTTCAGCACCTGGAAGGAAGTATTAGAAACGTACTTTTATACACTTGAGCGTTAACATTTTTGGTTAAAATAATTGTTACTTTTATCAGACAGCCAAGGAAGGTAAAATCATCCTACGCCATAAAAAAGCTGCGAAACCATATCCTTCATATCATCATAGAATGTACATAGTTAGTAAGTACAGTATCCCCTGCTGATCCGACTATATCCTGACCGGATGATCAGACAAACAGTCAAATGCTAAAACATAAACAAGTTAAAAATTCTAAAAATTTACGGAACTTACGGATTAGCGGGGATACAGTACCATTTAAGCACCGTTTAATTACCTTAAATGTAGAGTTGACGCAGGACACTAGATGTTTCAACATTAGACGCTTTTAGAGATAGTTTATCTAATCAACACTGTTTAATTGTAGCCATGGTCATTAGGTTATCCTCCTTATACACAATACTCATTGAAGAATATAATTGTATCCCATTAGTTTTGTTTGTTTTCAGAAATTGCAGAGCTCATTGAATTTCTGCTGCTTCCTTCTCTAATTCGTTCCTAAATCGTGAGGCAGTGCATCAGATAGATCCGGAGTAATCATATTGTATCAGTTGCAGCGATCATACCTGGAAAAGTGACATGTAAATAGGAATTCTATGGGATAGATGCAGTTAAGATTTGACTCAGGTACATCTGCGAAACTTACCATTCTCTAGTGTAAATGATGTATGATGCATGAACAAAGCATCCTTTAATTATTCTGCTCTTTGTCCATAGCATCTAGAAATAAGCCCAAAGCCATTATATACATATCTTTTTTAGACAATCTAAAAGTAAACTTTTCTATTGATAACGAATGCATCGCATCACTTCTTGAGCAGCCGTATTGGAGATTGTGCTAAATTACCGTGAAGGCACCATATTTACGTAGTTAAGGAAATATCAAATTCAATGTTTATTCAAAAAGAAACAACACTCGATGATTTTTTTTGAAATTTTGCATACACTATTTGAAATATCTAAGAGTAGGTGAAAATAAAAACTGGACGAACTTGTTAAAAAATGTTTGGAAAAATTACTTTTAATATCGTAGTGGTGTAGTGGTAAGAGTGAGAGTGAGAGCCTATCACCCTAAAGGTTGAATCCCAGTCGGCGCCGCCGGGATTTTCTGAGGCATAAAATCTCTGATCACGCCTTCCTTCGGGAGGAAAATAAAGTCGTTGGTTGAGTTGATAGGTAGGGTCCAGGTGTGGGAGCCAGGGATGTCGTCGGTAGCATTGGTACGCAGTACGGAAAACAAGATCGATTCACCCTAAATTTGATATTTTACCCCTGTGAGTGTTGATTAATCACAATGAAACATTGTGACAGAGCATATATATAAATGATTTGATTTGTTAGCCCGCATAAACACGAACCATCACTTGACCTTACCGATAATGGTTATAAATTGTGTATAATCCCTCCTAAACATTAACTGGAATTTTTCCCTGGAAAACCCTGGAAAAACCTGGGAAAACATGAGACAAATTTTAGTCATCGCTGAGTTCCTGCACTTTTGGCGATTATGAGTGAACCAAACTCAAATTTAGGTTGTTCTCATTCGCCGTGTACTTTGTGTGAAACCGAAAAATCTTGCATCTCTGGTTCGATTTTACGTCAACATTTGACAGCTGCTGCAAATGTTCGCAAGCAAGCTCTGTTCATGCGTGATACGTTGTTAGGAAGGTTTGTCTCGAGCGGCGGGAAGGATTTTTTTTTTTTTTTTGTTGTGCCATATAGGTGCTGTTTACTGCGTTTAACAGGAATTAATTGTAATTGTAATTGTAATTGTTCAGTGTATAGGCTGTGCCAACCGCTAAGTCGGCTTATCTAGGGACTAACCCCCTAGTCTATACACCTACTGTCCTTCCCGTTGCACTCGTCAGCTCGTGCGATACTCTAGACACACATGGGTGGTCGTATCCGGGTCCTCCCCTGGGTAGGCTCGTGTCCGTCCAGGTTCTGGCACATTAACTTATATCTATGCATGGTAATTATACTTTGCAACTCGCCTTTTGATTATAATGTAGATAATGCAGAAACTATATGAATGTTAGTGATCATTATTAGGTGTGTGCTGTAATGAAGTAGTAATTGAAGGAAATGAGGTTTTCATGTGGCTTATAGGTAATTCTATAATAAGTAATTCTATAATAGGTAAATCATGCAAGCACACACCTTTTACAATTCTTATCCTACTTACCAGTTCCGTCCAGTATAAATTGGCTGTTTCCAAATGGCCTAATCCTTTCTGACTGCTTACTCTCTTACGTTTTCTCGCTTTTTTCCTTCTTCCTATTGAAAATCTGGCCGTGTTCCCATTTGTTCTCAGGTAGGTAATATTGGTACATGAGGTTCCCCTAAATAGAACAAGTTAAGTGTGAGTTGCATGCGTTGGTTAGTCGTTTGGGTCATGGTGTTGTGTTCCCTATTTTATTTGCCTCTATTCAGCTCTCAGATCGCCCCCTCCCCCAAACTATTGCGGATGAGAAAAAGAACCCATATTTGGTAACCTCTCTCGAGCTGCAATGCATAAGATATGAATAACAAACAAATCTAGAACGGGGCTTAAACATATATAACATTTTCTAAGACTGAACACGATTAGTATAGTATGAATAATAAGAATTGTATGAAGAAAAGACGATCCCAAAAGAAAGTTCCCTAGCAATAAAACTATTACTCTGTGCTAATATGAGTTATTTCAAAATGGGCATCCATACTCAGAAACTATACCCGACCTCAACAAACTGAACCGAAATCAGAACAGCTAAACTACTCAGTAAGATTTTGGCTTTTCGATTTAATTGTATTAAGCTATCTCACAGAGACCAGATGTCCAAGTTCGGTCAGAAACTTGTGTAAAGTTAAGTGGAAACGTTGCCGTTACGTAGCGCTAGCATCTCCTGATTTTCTCTATACATTTATCACCTTCGACCAATTTGGCGCTACTACCGATAAATACCTGCTGAAAATTGCCACTTGGCGCTACCAGCACTTAGTGTCTAGTGTAAGTTTTGCAACGCCAGCGCCATCATGTTGTCGAATAGGAATCTTTACACAAGTTTTTAGAGAAATTTTGGAGCCTTAACGTCTGTTTTCTGTGGCTATTTTATATCGAGCTCTTTTCAATAATTGCAACATGTGAATAATGCAGAACAAGATTAAAATTGTTCTAGTGCCAAATTGGTTTTGAAGGAAGGTCTACAAACGAACAGCTCAACAGCTTTGAACCCTATGAAAATTATGCTTTCCCAATATGGTACATTCTCTCACTATAAACCTGTCATTTCTAGCCTATCTGAACTATTTAATAAATGGAAACCATAACATGGGTTACGCTCCTCCTAAGCGGGCCCTCCGCATCCTATCTCTGTCTTATCTCAAATGCCAATGGTTTGAATGTATCAATATATACATTGGAAATGACGTTCAATCAAATAAACCCATACCCCACTCACTTGGCCAGGCTTCAGAATTGTCCAGTGGGCAGTACACTCCAAGTACCCTTTCTTTCAAATTCACCCCAAATTTTATATTTTACCCCTCTGAGTGTTGATTAATCACAATGAAACATTGTGACAGAGCACGGACTTGAGGTTACTAGAGTATTAAATAATCTAGGTCCTATTTAGGATTATATCTAAAAATCCATATTTGGCCAACGCCCACCTTTAACAGGAATTATCGTTGCCTAAAAATCAAGAGCAAATTTTCATTACGTCGAGAGTAACAAAGGTAAACAAAGTCGAGCTATTACACTACATACTGTCCGAATATAGGATCACATCCCATTTTTTTTTTTTTTACAGTCAAATTGCTTTTTGACGTAATCTCCATCCGATCCAAATATTTTTCGATGTTACTTAAGTCACCCGATTTCTATGGAGATGCCGTCGGTCGCAGAGAAACCCGTGAAAAGTGTACATTCGTCGTTTCGCTTTTTCATTATTAAAGTGAATAAATCGAATTGTTTCTTGCTTAGATGATGTCGGTGGTCCTAAAATAATTGAATGGGCTGCATGTAAGGAGACGTGATTGATAATTCTCCCGAATATCCTGGTAAATACACTTTAACTTAAGTAACATTAGGGGGCCACCACCAAACGCATAAACAAATAAACAAACAAAAATAAACAAATAAACAAACCTCCCATCGTGGCAACAACGCACTCTAGATAGCATTTTAAGGACAACGAACGAGAAGGGAGAAGCACTATATACTTCTCTTCAACATGCTGCTGCCTGCTGCTCGCCGTATCGCACGACACGCAAGTATATAGCACCAAAAGTAGCAAAATACCACAGGAGTGGAACATCGAATCAGAAAGTGGCTCCACTTGTCATTTGCGAACACTAGCGCACCTAGCGGTAGAAGGCATCTTCGGCCTGCAGCTAAGATAGGCAGCATGCTATGATAGTGTGAGTGCACATAGAAAGCCCGTGTGGAACGCTACCACAACACATCGCTCGTTGAGCAGAAAAACGAGCACTTTTTGATTCACCGATTTGTTTGCACTTCCCCTTCTGTTCTGTGAAAATACGATAGGACGACTGCTATAAAAGCGACCCAGCCAGCCAGCGTTTTTTTTTTAAGTATTATTCCGACCACCATCCAAGTTACATCAAGTGAAGTAAGAAAGCAATCTGTAGAGAAATAGTGAACTAGTTAGAATAAAAGTAGTGTTAAGGTGATAATTTGATTAGTGTGTTGAATCTTTCAATCCGAAAGAAATACAGTCCACTTCCAACCCACCGGAGTTGGCCACGGTAAACGCGCCAAAATAGTGGTCCTTCGAACCGGATCCAGCGCCACCCGTAGGAAAGGATTCGACACCATCGCCACTCGACCGAGTGTAGTTCGACACGCTTCCGTGGTGTGCCAACCACGACGTGTACCGCCAGGAGAGGAATCAATTATTGATCACCGCCGCTAGCGAATCCGATTCGCAAGTTTCAACCCGCCCGCCGAAGGATTTTTCTACAGAACCGCTATTCCGAAACCATACGTACTCGTGCTGTGTGTAACGTACGACGTGACAACGAGTTCATTATGCCAGTGGATCGCACCCCGAAAGGTAAACCTGCTGCTAAGGAAGCAGCTGAGGGCGCAGGCAAGGAGAAGCAGCACGACGAGTCAGCAATATTCGAAGGATTTGCCGAATGGGAAATCAGTGCTGATTCCGAAACCGTGAAGGAAATAACGTCGCTTTCCCGCCAGCGAGACCAGGTCACCATGAAAGTAGTGCGTGTGCAAAGGGCGCTTGTTGCCGCTCGAAACTTGGTGAGCCTCTCACAACTCAGGACGTACATGAAGAATATTGATGTGGCCTACAACGAATATAGCGCAGTGCATAGCAAACTGGTTGATATCATTCCCCAAGAATGTTTTCAACAGCAGGAGGAAGTTTATGTCGCATTTGAAGACCGATACAACTTTGTCCGCACAACCATCGATGAGCTAATCATGGCACACGAAAATGCCAGTGTTCGTGCTCAAGCCCCGCAACAACAAACCATCGTCCGACAGCAACCGTATAAGGCTCCAATTCCAACCTTCGATGGTGATTATGCCAACTGGTCGAAGTTCAAGGCCATATTCCAAGACTCGAACGCGATCAAGCTGTATCATCTGGACAAGGCTCTAGTTGGTGCAACAACAGGTGCTCTGGATGCCAAAGTAATCAGCGAAGGTACCAGCAAGCGTGGACCATTCTCACCTATCGCTATAAAAAAAGGATTATAATCGAGACGCACGTTCGTGGTCTGTTCAACTTGCAAGGAATGTCATCCGCATCCCACAAGAAGGTGCGACGTCTGCTCGATGAGTGCACCCGCCACGTCGAGAGCCTGAAGTATCTTGAACAGGAATTCCTCGGTATTTCCGATTTGTTTCTGGTTCATATGCTGACGACCGCCATGGACAACAAGACCAGGATAGCTTGGGAAGGCACACAGAAGAAGGGCGTGCTACCCAAGTATGCGAAAACCATTACGTTCCTGCAGGGTTGCTTCCACTCACTTGCTATAAAACAATATTTTTTCGGAATTATGCAATCATTAGATGATATAATGATATGTTGTACTTGTAAGTAACAAGAAGAGGGTGTACAGTACGTGTTTGATTCATAAAACCTGTCAATTTCGCTTTCAGGGCGTCACAATCAGCGATCTTATCATTCGTGAGCGTTCACTCAGAGTGAGCGCTCACGAGTCGTAAAATCGGTTATTGTGACGCACTTAAAGGATTATTGACAGATTTGATGTGTCAAACACGTACTTTACGATCTCTTCTTGTAGCTTACAAATACTAATTATCATTATACCATCTCATGATTTCATAATTCCGAAAAACATTTTTTTATAGCAAGTGAGTGAAAGTAACCCTGCGTTCCTGCAATCGAGATGTGAAATATTGGAGAACTGCGAAACAGCTTTCCAGAAGGTTAATTCGCAGCCCGCTTCCAAATCGACCCCGAAGGTACAAGCATTCCAACCGAAAGCAAGCAACCCGAAGGTCCATACCGCCGCAACCACACCAATCAGCAAGGAGGTTTGTGATTTCTGCCAAGGTGCACATCGCAACTACCAATGCAATGCGCTTGGTAACATGTCCTTTGACAAACGGATGGAGAAGGTACGCATAACTGGTGTGTGCTTCAACAGTTTGCGCAAGGGGCACAGCTCCAAGGAGTTTTCATCACCGAGGTGTTGCCAAAAGTGTCAGAAGCGGCATCATACACAACTCCACAACGACGAGGTATACCGAGAACCGAAAGCCAACATGTCCATTCCGAAAGAAGAGTCCCGCACAGTTCAACCGAACAACACGGTAGCAAACCCGCCATCCGCAAAAGATATACCGAGCACATCCTGCTCGTGTAACTACGCCGATTCCACAAAAACTGTGTTCCTGCTGACAGCGGTTGTCAACGTGCTGGACGAAAGCAATCAACTGCATTCATGCCGAGTACTGCTAGATAGCGGCTCTCAGGTAAATTTCGTAACAAACAATTTTGCAAATCTTTTAAGAGTTCAGAAGCATCGTGTCAACGTTCCTATCTGTGGCATCAACGACGTCAGGACAGTCGCCCACGACAAGGTGATGGTAAACATCCGATCTCGACTCACCGACTTCCAAGCACACGTGTAGTGTTTGGTTACGCCCAATGTGACAGGTGTCTTCCCGCCAACAAGCCGATCCGGAATTCTACAAACCGGACAAGATCGATATGCTTCTTGGTGCAGAGTTATTCTTCAAGTTGATGCGACCAGGACATATCAAACTCGACTACAACCTCCCCGATCTCCGTGAGACCTGCCTTGGATGGGTTTTAGGCGGTATATTCACTAACACGATCAACGCCAATCAACCACAACATTCGCTCATCGTATCGTTGGATGACATCGAGGAATCCATTCAACGATTTTGGAGGCTCGAAGAGGTGCCAGATTCGGGTCCTCTGACGAAGAACAGGAGTGTGAAGCTCATTTCGTCGCCACCCACCAGCGCGATGAAAATGGACGATACCAAGTGAGGCTACCGTTCAAGGATAACGTGCACGAGCTAAGTGAATGCAGAGCGGTTGCTTAGAAGCGATTCCAGATGCTGCAGAGGAGGCTGCAGCGGAACCCCGATTTGAACGAGCAGTATGTTCAGTTCATGCGTGAGTATGAAGAGCTGGGACACTGCCACGAAGTACGAGAAGAAGACGATCTACCGCACCAGCAAAACTACTACCTGCCGCACCATGCGGTACTTCGCCCATCAAGTTCGACCACCAAGTGCAGGGTGGTATTTGATGCCAGCGCCAAACCAACAGTGAACAACCGTTCACTCAATGAGGTTCTACAAGTCGGTGCAGTGGTACAGAAAGAACTCTATGACGTCATACTCAGGTTCTGCAAGTACCCAGTTGCAGTCACAGCCGACGTACCTAAGATGTATCGACAAATCAAGATGCATCCAAGGGACACACACTCACCCCTATTCTGTATTTCGTTTCGAACGAAATTCTCATACATAAAAATATTTTTTTGTATGAGAATTTCGTTCGAAACGAAATACAGTGACTATCTCCGTGTCTTTTGGTGTGAGCAGCCGTCAGAGCCACTCCGAGTCTTGGAGCTCACGACGGTTACATATGGAACAGCATCGGCTCCGTTCCAAGCTACCAGATGCTTGCAGCAGCTCGCCGATGATGAATCAACCGATTTTCCGATCGGTGCGCAAATCGCCAAGGAAGGATTTTTATGTCGACGATGCACTTTCCGGTGCAAATTCACTTCCGGAGACCCTCGAAGCAGCAAGGCAGCTGGAAGGCTTACTGAAAAGAGGAGGGTTTTCGCTGCACAAGTGGTGTTCCAACTCAAAAGAGTTTTTGGACCACATTCCAAACAATCGACTGGAACAGCCCGTTCCATTGGAAGAATACGGACCGAATGGAGTCATCAAAGTGCTAGGCTTGGTTTGGGATCCAAAAGCCGACTTTTTTCTCATCGCAAGGCCGGCACAATGTGATTTTAATCAAC